AATACCAGAATGTTTGGAATGCGCTTCTCTCCCTCTAAATGCAAGTTGTTGCTTCAGGACTGGTCTGCGTCAACGCTTGAACTAAGGATAGGGAGTGAAGTAGTTGAACGCGTTGACAACTTCACTTATCTTGGAAGTCTGATCAGCCCTAATGGGTTTGTGTCTGACGAAATCTCAGCACAGATTCGAAAAGCTCGCTTGGCTTTTACCAACTTACGTCACCTATGGCTAAGGCGAGATATCCGTCTATCAATAAAAGGACGAGTATACTGCGCGGCAGTCCGTTCTGTCCCACTTAACGGCTGCGAAACATGGCCAATAAGAGTAGAAGACAATCGTAAGCTACTAGTATTTGACCACAGATGCCTCAGAAATATCGCTGGCGTCTGCTGCGATCACCGGATAAGTAATAGTGAGGTTAGACGCAGGGTATTAGGGAATGATGGTAAATCAGTCGATGAGGTTATGAATCTTAATCGACTGAGATGGTTGGGCCACGTGTTACGTATGCCCGAACACCGATTACCACGACGTGCAATGCTAACCGGTGTTCGGGATGGTTGGAAGAAAGTTAGGGGCGGCCAAACCAAAACGTGGCATCAGTGCTTGAAGTCATTAACTTCTAGTCTGAGCCATGTTGGTAGATGCAGACTACTTGGTTGGGGTCCGCGTGACTATCGTAACCAATGGTTGGAGGCTCTTGGTGACATGGCTCAGAATCGATCACAATAGCGAAGGTATATAGACTCTCTATCTTCCCTTAAACTATGAGATTAAAATCGCTTCATATCTTTCTACGAACTAATTCTTTCTTCCCGTATTATATCCTTATTGCAATCTTTGTTTTATATATTACCACCTCTGAATTAACTACTTTTATGAATCAGGTGTTCATCTTGCTGCGCTAGTGAGTTATGGCAACTTGGACCGATGCATAAATGTGCCTGGTCCTACGTTGTAGCTGACTGACTGATTTATCTTTTCCTAAGTTTTTGGCTTCAATATTTTATTCATACTCGTTTTCTGAATTTATCCCTTTTTAGAACTCTATCCGCCAGTAGTAGTCTTTATCATAAATAGTAATAGTACCTTAACTCTTATAGCATATAATAGATTAATTTCACCTCGATTTGTTGATGTTATTTCGGAACTTGGGTTGCTGGACATATGTCCCAGGCTTTATATCGAGTATGACTAAGGTTTTTCGTCATATTATATATAGACATTTCTTTTTCTTTGAAACCAAATCTGTTTCTCAGGAGGAATCGAACTGTGGGTCGCGGTCGTCGACAACCTGAGAGCTTTGTTCCTGAGCAGTCTTTGGATGATAAAGAAGTATCTCATCCGCCTAATGCTCATGGGCAACATCTGCGTGGCAAAAATACCCACCAGTCAGATGCACCCAATAGTAATATGAAAAATCGTCAATCATCCGTCAATGATTCGTATTCTTGTTATTCTAACGGTATATTTAATTTCACTGATGTTCATTATTAAATACTTATGTTTACATTATATTACAGTTAGATTTCTTGAGATTTGTATAAACAGTGTTTTGAAAATCTTCATTATGTGTGTCGATTAAAGTACACGAAAATCCTAGGCATTCGATTTAGCTTTAGTTCTGTTTCAAAATAAATATCTAGAAGCGTAGAGCAACACCTCAGATAGTTCTAGGGCACAACAAATTCTGTCGAATTTCATTTAGTGCTGAGAATTGTTGTTTAGATGGCTGCACACAATTTGAGGACTTTGGTTTGATTTTTTAAAACATTTCATTCCAAGAAATCGTTGAAGGTAAAGTAACAAGTGTTCTGACAGTAACAGGCTTTTTACGTAACCGAGAGTTTTCTAACATGGCTATTAGACGCTATGACAAGATATTTTCGTTGCTTCATTGTCGTGTCATGAAAATGTATTTTGCCAACCCCATACGTAATTATATGATAATCGTACTCATGTAGTGGTGCTAAGTTTTTTTGATATTCCAGTTTGTGTCTGATTGTCTTGTGTTCTTAAATATCACATGTTTATCTTTCCTATTTTTTAAGGTGTAATGTCAACTGGTGATCATGGAAATCCACAAGCTGACAATAAAGCCATTAAGAATGATAATTTGGGCGCAAATAATGTAAATGACGACCAAACATCAAAACAGAACAACGGTACCTCTAGACGTAGTCAAAACCACAATAAGGCAAGAGCAAGTTAATGTTTGCGGATTTATGATATTTCACCAAGATCGTATGGTGTCCTTTTACATACGTTGCCTTTTCCAAAAGCTAACTATTTTGAGTTAAAATGTGCTTTATTACAGTTATTAGGTTTATCTTTCCACAAAATGTTCATAATCGTATGCAGTGTAGATGGTCTTCCTCCTAGTATTCTGCATAAATGCTCTTTCATTTTCGGACTGTATCTCAACAATGACAGGACATCATGTGTTTGTTTAGATTTTCGCTTAGCCTTTTGAAGTGCATTTACACACGCGCCACCACTGTGTAATTAAACATGACTTTGTTTCTCTCACCAGTCTGTACCTTTTTACATTGCAACCTCAAATTGACTGGCGATTATCTTTTAGCTTTTCTCTACCACCATCCATCGATAAATTCTGATCTTTGAAAATAAGATTGTTGGTTTTGCGTATTATTTTTTCTATGTGGAGATGGGGTAAACCATTTCTTCAGTAAACAGCACGATTGTAAATATTGGGAATCTGTTGTGTTTCTGCTTGAACATCGATACTAGAAGTTTGTAAAACGTAGGCGTCTTGATAGGAACACTTAGTTTAAATATGAAGTTAAATCAGCATGTCCGAGCCTAAATGTTTCAGAGATTACACATAGGTATACGTATTCTGCTCACTTTGCTCATTATTTGATGTTTCATGGATCTGGTTTTTTCTGTAATCACAGTGACTTACGTCAAATATTCCAAAATATTATCGAAGCCTTCAGACTACATTTTCACATGAGATATAATTACAAAAATACTTTGACTTCACTGATTTCATAATGATTAAACTGCTAATGATGTAAACAACTTCCGTGGTTGTAATTTCGAAAACTTGATGTATTTATTCGTTTCTTGTCCTTTGATCCATTTCGTTTAGACACAATCCAACTCGTCCGGTTAGCGTACTTTGACTTGGTAATGAGTCATGTTAGATCATTGCAAGCTATTTTAGTGAATGTAACATCTCGAGCCAAAAGTCCTTTGTGCAGATGTAAGTTCTGAGTATGTACATGTACAATTGTCGTGATGGCTTCACTTTTAAGATTCACCACATTTTATATCAGTTTATGGACACGCGATTCTTCTGTGATTCATACTTATAAAATAATAATGCCCTTGCACTTACCTTATGAATTTGTGGATGTAGTAGGACTAAATCCTCTGTTTGTAATTATCTGAAATCTCAGGGGAAAGGGTCTCCTTAAAAACATCTCATGTTTATAAGTTGGATAATATTTGAGGCATTCGAACATAGATAACCAAGTTTCAAAGTCAACACTAGGCTATTCATGTCAAGAATGACGTTTAAGGCATGCTCATTTCTTGTATATCTGGTTGACCAACCTGCAATACGATCACTGGTCCAAGTGACTGGACCTTGCGTGAACTATTGCAGTGCTAGATAAAGCTTGAATACTCCAGCAGTTACGTGGTCTCACAATACAAGTCGAATGGTCCTTGTTGTAAGACACCCATCAGGAAGATATCTGGAGCAGTGTTTTATGTTGATTGCTTCCAACCGCCTAAAATAAGGAAGTGCACGGGATGTCAAACTATTTAGGATGTTGATCATATTGCAACGTGATCGATGGATTTCGATCAGCATTAAACACTGAGGCATGACGTCTTAGGTATAATACACTGTAAAAGTACTTTGCTACATATATAACCTTTGACAACTCAATGTGCCGGTAGACCAGCTGCTTATCAGTAATAGTGGATTTCTAATTTACACAGTAAACAAAATATCCCATTAAACGGTCTTCATACATTTAGGGCAGCACAGAAACTAGCCAATTCTAGTTACATGTATAATTTGGTGTCTTCAGAAAAATGTTGCCTAATACAACTTCCTAGAACGGCTTTGACAAAATAAATTTCAAATATCAAGTAGACTATCAATACAGGATTTTGGAGATTGTTGTTTAAATTGATATCATAAATAGACCGATCTTAGACCACCATTCGAGATGAATTTCCTGGAGTTCTAGTGAGAAGCCGTGGCTAGTTGAGTTCAACCGTGACTTTTGTGTAGCATTTACTCACTGAAGACAATGGTGGACGGTCGCGCAATATCGCAAATCGATCGAAGTTATACATCAACGCCATTGAATGCCGGCTCAGTAGTCTAGAGTTTAAGCGTTCGCGCGCGAGTCCGAAGGTCCTGGGTTCTGATCACGCATGTGGGATCGTGGATGCGCACTGCTGAGGAGCCCCATACTAGAACGAAACGGCCGTCCAGTGCTTCCAGGTTTTCAATGGTGGTTTAACATTGATCTATTCATGATATGAATTTGACCTAATGTCAAGTAGACATTGAGTTTATACTTGAAGAAAACATCGGAAATCCTTGTGAATTTTGTAAAAATATTTGTTCACTTTACGGAAACGGTCATGAATTCAAAAGCGTATATACATAATCAGGAATATTATCGTACAACCGGTTCTAAATTAAATTATCTAAATTACCAACATAACGAAGAACTAAGCAGCTGAGTTCAATATAGGTCTGAGAATGCTTCAACTTTCTAACACCATGGATAGACCCAAATTATCGTGCTTTCAAACAGCGTGTATTCATGAATATTTATTCTTAGTAAGTTCCATAGACTTCTTACGAAGCTACTATAATATTATATATGCAATGCGACCCAAGCCAGCTGCCGTTTGCTAAAGATACCTTTTTTTGTTTTACATTCAAATTAATAAAATCAACTAGGGAATTTTATTTTTAGTATGAACAGATTACAGAAATAATCCAACTACAAGCAATAAGTGGTTTTCGATTGTGTTGTTCCGATTTGTCCAGTGACAGCAACTGCCATCAAAAATTCCTGAAAAAAAGAAAGGCAGAGAAGTGTGTATACTAATGCACTATACATAATATAATCATTAAGGGCAATTAGTCCCGTATCTACCATAAACCAGAAAGGTAGAGTACTGTGTTTTTACTATTATCTGAGGAATTCGAAAAGGATGGTAAAATTGTTCCTATGCGAAAATGTAGTGAATAGTTTAGTCACTTTAAAGTTTTGCAAAATTATTTACCGACTGGGATGACTGATTGTTGTCATGTGGATAATTTGGGAAAGATGTGCACTTTCCTACACAGCTCAATCAGTAACGATATGCCCGACTGTGATTTTCTGTTTTCGTCAACCTTAGCTTACCTTCCAACTAAATATTTTGAACTAGCTATGTAAGTTGCTGTGGACGACTTACTGAATTGCGTTATCTACTCGAAAACATCTAATACGATTCAGATAAAGATATCAAATGAAGTACTAAATAGAAATCTATATAGAAAAATTTACTTTCTATTAGTCTGAAACAAACAAGAAATTGTAGACTTTAATGCAGTAGTAGTTAGTGTTTGTGACAGGGGAGAAAAAATATTCCTATTTGAGGCCACAGAGTCACTAAGTAAATGCTATCAATCACATTAAAACTTTTATATTTGCAGTTTATCGCGAAAAGCTCTGGGGTTAAGTGTTTAAAACGCATTAGGTAGGTTTTGGTTACCATTCAGCACTAATAAACTGTTACTGATTATTAAGTCAAAGTAATATTGGTTTGTATGTAACGGATTAAATTAATAATCTCATTACGTACGTTCAAAAAAGAACACTTACATCTAATAGCTTACTGTCAACTAATTTATTACTGCTAGTCTAATGTTCATATAGTAAGTTATGTGGCATCCTCGTTACTACAGCCACACCTTGCTGTCTAGTGTCAGACAGCATGAAACCGAGAAAAGATGCGTCTATTTATCAATGTTCGATTTGTGGGGGTTATTGAGCATTTCCGAGAATTTTTAACCCACTTAGTGAGCAAGTGATGTATAAAAAAGCGCGATTTTCACTCAAGACATTATTTCAAGCTCTAATTCTCACTATATTTGATTTTCCTATCTGTCAGTTTAAGATGCGCTGCCGTAGCGTGTCCATAGACATTTGTAGATAGCTATGGACTATTGAAATGGAATCTCTAGTGAAAATCATGCCTTTATATGCAGCATTCAAAAACTAAATGAACAGATAAATGCCAACCAAATTATACCAACCAATTCACGAAACTGATAATGTTGAGTCGAAATAAAGAACGATATCTTTACAGTATACCAGTAGATATTTTCAATAATTGAGTAAAATCAATCCATTAAAGTAATGTGTATATTCGCAAAGCAATAATTAGATAAGAGTAACTTGCGGTTAATTTTGTATTATTGAACAGTTTGGAACATTTATAGGAATAGTCCAATAATATTTAATTTCAAACATATAACAAACTATTTTGATGGATTTTTGTTCTCTGAGCTGGATAGTTTGGTCATCAAGCTTTCATCGTTCTTCTGAACGATATCATCAGCACAAACTTCAGTGCTTAATTATCATGTAAAGTTAAAAACGCTAATTAATAGCGTTGAAGTTATGGATTCAGGATAATATTAACAATAAAAGAACTAAGGAGAATGAACAACGAGAATCGAAACAGTAGTCTAGTAAACCTGTTTTGGAATACGACTTATCTGCCCTGGTATGGCCGAGAGCGGGGTGGGTTCGCCCCCCGAAATACTCTCACACGGCCACGCGTATACAGCCTCTGCCAGGGAAGTCCTATTCACTGCTTTCTCGTGGCGGGGGTGTTGTTTACGAAAAGCGAATGCCCAGAGCTTTAACCGGATCCCAAATCAATGGTGCACATGGGCTCCAATATCCTGTGGGAACAAATGGCGCATAAGCCAATCGTTGGTCACCGGCTACCATGGGACTGCATCTCCTTACGATGCTCCACTGACTTGTGGATCAGACCTTTAGGTCAAAGGCTCGGGGTGTGGCCCCCTAAGATAGCCACCTGCTTCGATCTGGGCACCCGGGCAGTATCTCAGGCCGCACACAAAAATGTGTGGCGCATATATATTTGGTGCCATCTTGTACCAATATTTATGTGTCCAAATAAATAAATAAAAATAGAAAAAAAATTGAGACAATTTAAAAATTACTCTGATTCTTCAAATTCATTAATATGTATATATACAAAGTGGTAATTAATATCAGAAAGGGTTTTGTGGATTTTATAGTAATTTCAGTAGTTGAGATCATGAGTCAATTGAAGCTAAACCACCATCGAAAACCTGGAAGCATTGGATGGACGGTTCATCCTATTGTGGGACTCCAGCCTGCGCATCCACGATCCCGCCTCGCGCGCGACCTTTTAACCACTGAGCCAACATCCGACGGTGTTAATTTCTGACTTCAGTTTATCCATGAAATTGAACGACACACCCACCATTGTCATCAGTGAGTTACCATCTCACAACAAACCCGGTTGAGCTTCATTGGTCACGGCTTCGCACTAGAACTCCAAGAAATACCTCTTGAAGAAAGTCACTAGTGAGCATATGTTCATTAATATCAGAAAGGGAGTCCCACAGTAGGACAAAAAGGTCGTCCAGTGCTTCCAGGTTTTTTATAGTTATCTAGCTTCAATTGACTCATGATCTCAAATATTAAAATGGTAATTCATAAAATAATGACACTGAAATTAACTAACCTTCAATAATTTACTAGATTGAACAGTACTCATTCCAGTTCCACGAATACCTGTGATAATATTATTTAATAAATATGATATTGCAGAATTACGACAAACAGAAGATGATTCCTTGTTATTTTGTTTACAATATGCATCAGTTGAATATAATAAATAAATAAATTCTAATGTACCAGCTAATGGTACTATAATTCTTTGTCGTTCATTTGTATAATCTTTAAGATAAGCTAAACTTCCTGTAGATCCCCCCAAAAAAAGCAATTAAAATGAATGGAGAATGTTTACACTACATAAAATGTACAGTTTATAAAGATTATAAATTGAAAATGGTAAAAACAGCAGTTTCTTTATATGAACAACATGCTTGTGAAATTATCTTTGTACAAATGAATTTATTAATTAAAAGTACAGTATAAATAAACCATACATTGATCTAACATCATATGAAAACGTTTGAAACAAGTACGACATTTTTTTAATCGGTTACGTTTTACTATACAGTAAATTAATTAAGATTGACCTAGTGATGTCAGAGTCACAGTGTATATAAAGAAATAATAATCTGACTATCAACTGCATTATGAATCATGTCAGTTAGTAAAATATAACAAACTATTTTTCAACAAGTTGGAGAGTGCTCAGCTACTTTTGTGGATACGAACCAAAGGTAAAGAGTGCAAAGAAATATGAGGTGAAGTAACGTTTAATTGTAATGTGTGTCAGGGAAATAAATCAAAATTAGATATTATTCTTTTTTACAGTGTATATATCCTTATATCTTTCAATGCATTAACCAACAAAAAAATTGACTGCATATTTAGGCGTTTAATAATAATTGATCACTTTACTGCCATATAATATCGTGGATTGTTTATAGAATAGTTAAATAGATTCATTTGAATTCAAACGCACGAATACTGTAATATTCTAGCGGAGATTAAGATTTTGGGTAACTACTGAGAACTATTTATAAACTAATAGTACACATATATTCTAACTGTATAACTATTGAGTAACTAGGTTATGCTTATTTATGTTTTCTCTTATTATAAGCTTCATTTTGACCTATAGACCATTATTATCCGATTTATTATTCTTAAGTTATACTCAGTTTATTAATCGGAGTCTCTCAGATTCACAGCCACTTTTTAGCCTGATCCCGTATAATTTTTATTTTGTATTTTATGGTATAATGTGGACTGGTTCGCTTGTTAAATAAACCCAGTATGTTTGGAATATACGATTCGTATAGTGGAAGCTGATATTGGTGTTCTGGACTCAATAGGCAGGAAAAAGGGACCACATAAAGACACCGGGCTGTTCATATCGGTCAATACGTCATTGGTTCGGCAGAGTGCTAATATTGTATAAGTCGTATTCTGACTGGCCAATAAGTCAAGTTATAATTAACTGGCTAAAAGTCACAACAAATACTTTATTGTTATGTAAGTGAAGTTCAATGGTGTTCGATTGAGGTTTCAGGCAAGTGCATAAATAGACATGACTTGTAATGTATATAATTCACACTTTACCCATAGCTGCTCTATGTTTTTAGGAAACAGGAAGTAGTTACTTGGTTAGGGTTATAGTGCTAAGCGAATACGATAAACTTGATGAAATAGGATGAATTCCTAACTAGGTCAATCGAACACCACAAAATTTATACCTTTCCAGTTAATCAGTTTGACGTAAACGTGTCAATACGAAATCAGTACAAATGTGAAATAGATGATTTTGTTTTGTGCATCAAATAAAAGAAAAAGTATTAGTGATAATAGTTGTGCAAATTGCTTCTTACCAATATTAGCTCCATGCAAAACAGCTTCTTCTAAATGCCTAACCAATGAAACAACATCACCGAAACCAAGGTTAACACCTTGACCAGCAAGTGGTAGTATTCGATGAGCAGAATCACTATATTAATGGTATGTTTTTAAGAAAAAAAAAACATTTAAAAGAGGTGCAACTAACAATTAACAAATAAATTCAAAAATATCTTGAAATATTTTTGATAAATAGTATTTCAATCTAAAAAAGTCTTCAAATAGTGCACACGATAGACTATAGTTTTATTTGGAATAATCTCAACAAAATATCTTATAACAGCCAACCAAAGTTAAAGGTTTAATAAAACTCATTCAGTATAACCTAGTAAGCAGTTAAACTGCCAGTTACTAAGGTTTGAACTACTGAACTGTAATTATATGAATATGTAAATTAAAAGGAGAGCGAGGTAGGGGAGTGATCAAACAGGTTACTCGATAATTGATATTCCAGTTTGAAAAATTATCTTGCCTCTGATTTAATGTGATAATCACTTTGATTTTAGATGACTTCACAACCCCCTTCCTCACATAAACTTGCAAATCTAACAAAAATAGGAAGGATAGGTGGCAGTTTCGTGAATCAATTACTATAAGGTGATGTAGGCGAAAAAGCAAGAGAAATAGGATTATGCGGATGGTTGAAATAGACTTAGTTTTTTTTAATTATTTGCAATTTTTTATAATTTTTTGTTGTAACGGGTGACTGCAGATTATGATAAGCAGCGTTTATACCGATCGATTACAGTGACAGCGTAAAAACACGTAATGGACGGCCTAGAGTTTTGATTGGTCCCACTTCCCTGTCTAGCCCAGCCAGTTTAGTCCAGAACACAAGTCACAGCCTCTGAGTTATGAATCATTGTATTTCAGACATACTCTATTTATATACTAACCAAACAAACCACACCGTACCATAAAATAGAAAACAACATTTACATAATATTCAACAAGTGAAACAAACATCGACCAATGGGAAATGTCCATTTAACGTTCAAGGACACCATTCGACTTAACACGATAATTATTGGCATATTCCTCTGCATACCTAACATTTTTATATTCAATGTATACAAATATTATGAGTGAAGAATTTCGTTTAAGCTGATTTCCTTTACTCCTGTTCACTTTTTGTGTCTTATTGATAAACGATCGCTAAATTTACGTATTCGTACACACACTTCGTCTTGACTTTGTTGGCTGATGTTTTCTAATTGTTTACTAACAATCCTGTTGAATACGCTTTAGCTAACACCATACAGCATATTCTCTGTCGATTACACACAAACACTTTGGATCTATATCTGACTTTCCTTGGAATTACTTGCTCTATAGCGTTATGATTGTATATATATATTTGTTTCTGTGTTATATAAACTTACTCTCTTGATACGCTTATGGAGTAATAATTAAGTTAAGGTATATTCATATTTTTATTGGTCCGCCACAGGGTATATCAAAATTAACCGTTTACGAATATCTATCTACTGTCTAATATATATGCTTTCCAATAAAAGAAGCGAGTGCTTTTTTATATATGAGTACCTTAATAACCATCTGATTAATTAGTGAATCAAGGTAATTTAGCCAATTAATTGTAAGTAATAATAATGATAATAATAACTTGTTTAGCTGAGAACCTTTAAGAAACAACACACAGGGATATTGTCGACAGATATCGTCTATGAGTCATTTCAAAAAGTACACTTTTTATGAGATTACAATATAAAGCAGATATTTAAGGTGAAACATTGACCTAATAGACTAATCATTCAATATGCATCACACATTACCCCTAGCATAAATGACGAATTTCTTCAACCGTTTTTAAGGGCAAAAAAAATTTAAAAATCTATTAAAATTAGTGTTTTCAGAATAACTATTTGATGTAACGTTATATAGGTAAAGGGTAACTCAAATTCATCTTGAAAGTAGAAAAACATATTGAAGTGGATTCCAACTTTGCTTTTGTTATAACACACAACAAGTAAACCTCCTTTTTAACTTCAAAACATTCTCATGAAACGTTGTGAACACGATCATGAAATGAGACTTGGAACTTGAGTAACCTAAATATATGTAGCATTTCAAAACTACAATAGTTTAACTAATCTTAATTTCCTGCAATATTCCGTTGTCATTGCACACTCACTGAAGATCATATAGCATAATTGTTCTTGTTACTCAGGATGTGTATACCATCTCATAGATGACTGACTCACTTAGAAACGAACATAATAGATAACAATTGATTGATAAGTAGCGTTAAAAACTACTCCATCAAACTAATAGTATTTTACAGTTTACTCTCCAAGACTGGAAGGCAGTGTGTTTTATTGCCGGTAGGGTCATAGGTGCTCACTGTTGAGAAATCTCATACTAAGGCGAAATGGCTATTCACTGCTTTTAGGTTTCCAGTGGTTATCTAACTAAGGTCAATGGCTATGATGCAAGCAGTAAAATTCACTGATATTATTGTTTAAATAGGTATTTAAATGATTAACATACCCCACTAGTGCCACACGAGGAGCTGAATAAAATGTGGCATGTTGAAAACCTAGAGGGAAACAAGCCCTTTTCGTATTTGGTTGAATCGATAATACTGTTGGTGTTGAAAATGAGCTGGATTCACTTTCATTGTCTGTAGATTTTATTTGATTACCAAAGTAATCAACAACACTAGCAAAACATTGTCCCATCTTATTGAAAAGTGCACCAATTTGTGACGTCGATTCATTAGGTTTAGTCTAACAAATGAAGAAAAGAATACATATTTCTCGAAAGAAAAAAATATCGGGAAGAAGTGGGATATAATTCAGTAAAGATAAACAAATATGAGGCAATTATTGAATATTACAATAGTTAAAGACCGTAACATTAGCATAGTGGCTTTAATATATCAAATTGAATGAAATGTTCCAAAACACAGAGATTTTAATATCGGACCTTCAAAAAAGTAAGGTTCCACAAATAATTAGTTGTTTGGAGAATTGTATGAGGTTTAATTAATTTTACGTGAGCTTATTACAAAGAAATTTCCCATTTACTCATTAAATAGTAAGTACATATAAAAGCATGAATCAAAGAATTTCAACACAACTTACCAAACAGTCATTCAACTCTTGAATAAAATCTAAATCTTTTAAATTCATAAGACGGTCAGCTTCATACGAAGTTGTACTCCAAACTAATGATGAATATTCTTTTGACAACTTTTAGAAAAAAAGTATAATTGGAGTATCTTGTTACTATTTCGTATAACTTCAAAATTAATCATACATTCATCTAACATTCAAAGAAATTTTAATAATTAGACTAAAAATTAATTCATAAAGACGATAATTATCTACAATTATTATCAATATTGTGAAAAGAAAAAAAATATTTGTTCAATGATTTCATAACAATGAAGATAAATATATCATACGCTAGAAAATTCATTAGAGAAATAAACAGACAGATAAATCTAAACGTACAACGTTACAATAAATACGTTTATGATAAATTATGGGTATATATATATATATATATATATATATATATATATATATATATATATATATATATATATATATATACGATCTCACAAGCGGGATTTGAACCCAGGACCGTCGGTCTTGCGCGAGAGATCATGGATGCGCACTTCTAAGGAGTTTTCCATATGTAGTGTCAGTTACTATGTTAAGCCCATATACTGTATTCCAACTTTCGGACATCCCATTCTATTCATTCTACTTGAGTCATACTTTGACCTTGTTATTTATTCGCTTATCAATCTAGACTGTTTTTATATGAGCGTATATGTGTGTGCCCTTCTTATTCCGTTAATCACATGTCTGTAGCTTTATTTGGTCTGACTATAAATATTGAGTAACGCTTGACTAAAGGGGAGTTGGCTTACCAGCCATCTCCACTGCGCATCATTTTTGCTTGGCTTCACCGTGTGCTTGCTTACTGTACGCTTGCGGATTTTTATTAATCATTAACAATAGCTTATCTCTACAACTGGTGTTCAGGCTTCTGAATAATCTCGAGTAAATCTGTAATTCTACTAGGAGATTAAGCCTACCTAAAATACTCAGTTTACGGGATATTATTTATTGGAGTCAGATATTGAAGCCAGACATACTATGACGAAATGGTCGTCTAGGTTTTCAATGGTGATCTAACTTTGATTGGTAAATTCAACTATTTTAATTCAGTTGATTTGTTAAATAATAAATACTATGTTAACACTTCAAAGTTGTTTAAAGTAATTGAGAAAGTAGATGAGATCTGATTTCTGACATTTTGCAATAATATGACTGTTATCGAAAATTCCATAAACTGATTGTATCAACTCATTAAAATCTATTCAGCAGTTTTGCAATGATTTAGTTATTATGACATTTATTATTTATTTAAAATTTAATTAAATAATATAATCCAAGAGTAAAAATTAGTGTAATTCGGAATGAGAAATCGATTTGTCACTTTTCCACATACACACACACAAATAAATAAAGTGACTACTTTTTAAACATGAAGGTTTCTTATAAAAGAAATAAAAGAAAACAAAACCATCAACCCTTGATGTGAAACAGATTAATTGATTTTGACAGAAAAAAAATTGACAACAGCGAAGACACTTTCATTGTACCTTAATAAACATATGCGTACTGCATATGTTCCACTTACAATATCATACATATTCTGAGTTTTTTTAATTTATCATTTTATTGCAAATCACTACTACTCTTACCACGTACTCATTTGCATTTCTAAAATACCTTTATTTGTCTTCGAGTATACACACAATTGTCATACATATTTTAAAATCTAATTTGTAATTATGAGAGTAAACATTCGAAAATTACTTAATTGATTAAATTCTTATAACATTTGAAGGTTCCTCTGTTTTTTTATATAGACTAGTCTATCGAACTGAAAGACATATATGATGATACTACTTATAATGCAAAATCTATTCAATATCGATATGGTTTATACATGAAAACTGTGTACTCTTAACAACCAAGACTAAACTGATAGACAAAAAAGACAGTGTCCTTTCTTTGATTATAGCTTATTTAGATAAACACTAGAACAGAATAGATCAACTATCCTTCCATACAGAAATAATAAGTTAACTGATTCATTCTAATATATAAACCGATTTGCATAGGTATATATATATATATATATATATATATATATATATATATATATATATATATAATTCATATCCAGAGTCGGTTATTTCATAGACTAGTATTGTGCCGTGGTGTGAATTATCTTGAAAAATTTCTAAACTAATCCTGTGTATACAAGAATGGTATACCGAAGGAGCCATAGTATACATATAATAAACATGGGTCCACTCTACATGAGACACACACTGAGGATACCTATGACTGAGTGTGATTTTCAGAGACTAGGTCCTAAAGCCATTAGGATCACAAAATGGAATACTGTGCAATACTGCCAACGACCAGCAACCATCATGACAAGTTTTTTCCGAGCTACCTACTAAAACATCGAATGGTCACCGCACCTTAACTGAAAATTTAGTGATATAATAATTGAATGTTAATTGTCCTTCAATCAGTTACGATGTTTGTAAATATAACTACATTTGTAAAATTCTCTTGACTTGATAATATTACAGTTATCCATAAGCAATGTAAAGACTGGGATTATTTTTTTTCAGCACAAGTTACCACATTTCCCTTCAGGACAGCACAGGTAGTGACATTAACAACATAACAAGTAAATAAGGTGAGATAATAATGATAATAACTGTAAAGTTAATAATGATGGGTACACTAAACATAACGATAGGTATAGTTCATTAAAAGCAGTTTGAAACATAAAGCTATACAATCATGAAGCAAAATAAAACTCAGTGAGAATAACCACTTACTGGGAGTAATGCAACTGGGCCTGTTGGTAGAAACCTTTGCCAAGCGATAGATTCATTATTAGCCTGATGATATGAATATAAAAAAACGATTAAAAATTTATCAATTAATTAGTCATAAACATAACTCAAATAGACGTATGAGATAAAAAAACATAAAACATGAAGATCGTTATTGAGATTCGGTTAGGACGCCCAGGCAGTTATCCAGCCCTTATATTTGGTGCCCCCTTGTACTAATATTTATGTGTCTCAATAAATAAATCTTAGGATAACAATAATATTCATTTCATGTAATTGACTTTAGGGACACAGATGTGAAGAGGCGCCAACTGGATAAAGTCCATTTAATTAGTTTGAACCCATAACATGAAAATCTAGTACCAAAATTATGCAGTCAAACATTTAGTTTTACGCAGAAAACGATATTAGAACCATTGAAGTCTACATAATGCGTTTATTACTTGCCAAGAAATAACCATTAATTTAAAGTAAGTAATATAACTTTACCAAAACAAACATCTAACTTTGAATATTGGTAATAAAGTCAATTGATAACCTATCAATACATATAGCGAAGTAAATACAACGAAAGCTTTTTCACTCATCGTAAATTTAACGCAGTCAACAATGAGAAAGTTTACTTAGAATTATTGTTGATTTTCTGATCATAGTACTCCATAGATTAAAAATCTGTAAGTTATATAATGGAATTCAACCGAACGAATATATGACTAGCCGAACACTTCTTAAGTAACATTCATCTTTAAGCGCGGTTAAATGCAATCCCGAAAAAAAACCTCTCATCATAATGATTTACCATATTATCAAACTATATCAGTCGTACAACCATGGCACAAACATTACGGTTACAGACACATTCTGATGACAGAATGTGATGAAAAAAAGAACAGAAAAAAGAGCCATAAGATAAAATGATTTCCTATTTATTAAGTTAATATGTCAAATTTATTTAATTTGAAGGAATCTGTAATTGAATATTTCCTTACTCTGTATAGTTGGCCTTACTGCATAACTATTAAACAAATAATAAACTTTATTAGTTTGCGTTTTCAATTTAAATGTAACCAGACCAATAATCATGTTGGTAGGCTACAAAGTAGAAACACCAGATGACAAAAAGGTACTAAATATGGAGGTGGTTGGGAGGAAACTAAGGATTTATGTTTTGTAATAGTTGGCACTTGTCAGCAGGCGATTATTGTGATCTTGAGGAAACGGATGCTCTCTGTCGGATTTGAGCATGTGTCACTCAATCTGGAAATTTAATTCTAAGCCATACGGGCCGCGACTGCGTGAAATAGATTCGAATCTCACAAGGAGAATGAGTCTCTTCAAGATTAAAGGTGCCGCGTTGGCAACAAGTACCGACCGGCACAGAACCAAGGTTGGTGGTAACTTGACAACCACCCTACACATCAGCACAGTGCATGCGATGTCGAGTCACTTAGACTAGTGACGACATTGTAACTTGGTTGACAGGATTCGATCAGCGTTGAGAAACTGGACAAACATGGCACTGATCAATACTACTCAGTCGTCAGTCAATTATAGGTAGTAAATACATCGAAACTAATAAAGATAGGATATTACTGATTGAATATAAAAACTTGGGGATTAAGGAAATTTATTAAATCCGGAACCAATGAACTTATAAAATCGCTTCATCATTAGACAAAATTATGAATTAATTATCAATGATGAATTATTAGATTTAAGGTAGAATTTCTGGTTCCTTCACCCTTAAAGAACAAGTTATGATGAACCATTAGAAGATTTAAAAATCAAAGAAATATATAAATCTACTTGAATATAATGGGCATCAACACCAAGGCTTACTCAATGTAACGATTGGATCTAATATATATATGTCAATATCAAATACGACAGTAGTATACACCATGGTCAGTCCGCTGTGTGGACGTCTCCCGGTGAACTTAAGCTCTGAAAGAGCCAAAGGCATTCGATCCTGTCATCGTTTGGAAGTTTAATAGACGATATTGACTTGTATCTTCCCGATTGGACAAATGCTAAAAACTACTTTCTGTGCATCAGATGATTGTAATGATAATTTCGTTTTTATTAAAACTATGAATACCCGAGTGTTTTGTATCATATTTGATACTGGTTTGAATAAGATTCCTTTTCACTCGTCTTCTGCCTTTTAACTTGAGACTTGGAGGGTTCGAGTGCTCAAGTTGCACGCGGTATAGAAAAAATCCAAGTTCTGGATATAACATCTAATATAAAAACAAACAAATTTCTGTGACATAACTGATTTCACGGTTTAATTCAATTTAAAATGGATTGGATTATCCCACTGTTGATATTTGGTATCTCATACTCGTTGCATAGGTGAGTGGCTATCTGGATTCAGTAGCTAAGTGGATGGTGTTTGGAGCAAAGATTACTGGATTTGAGTCTAGGAATGAAAATCAACTCTGGGATGCAGGTGAATTCAGCTAACTAGTCCCAAATGGGACGAAATGAGCATTCTGGATCCCACTGCTAGCCACATTCCATCTATTCTATATTGATTTCACAACCATTTATTTATATATTTTTATTACCACATCATGTTAGAAATACTAAATACACTAAACCTCAATGTACAACTTCCCGGTTCAGTTGTATAAATTCATTTTATCCGTTTCACTAATCATAAAAATTTACCTGTTCCAATTTTAAAGTTGCTACAATAGCTTTTTGATTATGATTCCAACCAATTGTATGAATATTAGCTGTTCTACGGACAAGTGAATTGAACCCATCAGCACCAATCTACAATCGAAAACAAATAAAACCAAATATTATTTATAAATTAATCAAAACAAAACAATGCATAAAGTGTAGTGTAAAAGTAAATTGCAAACGTCACTCAACTGTTTTAGTAAAAGCAACAATTTATCCATAATTAATAAATTCACTATTTGAAACATCAAATAATTGTTTCTTTTAATTGTTGTTACATTTACCATAAAACAACAATTATTTCCAAGTAATTACAATTTATAAAACAGATTACTTCAAGTAACAAAGCTGTAATAAAGATTGTTTGGTATTTTAAAGTTCTGTGAGTCAATGAAAAAGGGAAACGTATAAGAGTATCGACAAAGTTTATTTAAATACATAAGACATTTGGACTACAATGTATACATAAAGTTCAGGAAAGAGTATGTTGAAACAAATTAATAGTGACCGTTAGAACTTTGTTTAATTTAAGAAGTACTAGCAGATTAGAATAATTTAAGCGCATAAACCGAAATTGACAGTAAATTCTAGCACAGTATCGTGTTTGTAGATAAAATAAATGAAGATACAAACTATGAGGTAGGGAAAGGTAAACTTGAGAATATACTATGCATATTTCGCATGCTGTGACTAAAGCATTCAAATTGATTTACCAGGATACCCTGTCGTTTTTTTAAAAATAAACTAGAAAAAGATCTTAAAAACTAGATGAGAAATTTAATGTGGTAAATATATAATCCTGTAAACAGGACAATACAATATCCACATGCATACACACAGAAAAAGTATATCATATTAGAAGATATGACCACAATATGAATTGATTTCAAAGTACTGGATAAAAAAACATCATTGTCATACTGAACTTCATGATAACAATATAGATTTCAACGATGTAAAGTGACATGAATAGAATATTAGAAGTTAAATGAAAACATATGAAACTCTGAAACCGCCTACAAATCAATACTATAAATTACCATGAAAATTATTGACAAACGGTAGAACTAGTCGGATGATAAAATAAATTTTGTAAAGTGGACTTCAAACATAGAACTTTTTATTTTAAATTCAGGTTCCTATAATAACGGAATGATTTCAAGATGTAGATTACTGCATGAAATTCAAATTACGAACCAAGGTTATGATTTATATTTTAGAAAGAGTTGTGTTTATGAACAATGAATCTTCTATTTGGCAGATTAGTGCTCATAACAAAATGTTGAACTCATTAGAAATCAAACATATAATTTGCAAGTGTTTAAGTTTGTATGGGCAATTACGCTAGGGGCGGCCAGACCAAAACATGGCACAAGTCCATGAAGTTACTGACAAGTGGACTGAGTCATGTTGGTAGGTGTAGACTACCTGGTTGGGGACCGCGAGATGATAGCAACCGATGATTAGAGACCCTGAGTGACATGGCTCAAAATCGTTTGCAATGGCGCAGGTGCATGCAATCTTTGTGTTCTCAAAAATTTTGATCTCCTTATTCCTCCTTGTCTCTTTTTTCTCTTCCCAAATTTATTTCACTGTATTATACTCTTTAAATAACATCTCCAAACATTAATTTTCCTGATTACTGCTTATACTCTTACCGTCTCTACCACTACGGGATTTGAATCGACCACTACAGCTGTGTGCTAATGTGGTGTGGCAACTCGAACTGATGTACGTACGTACGAAGTTCTACGTTGTTACTGACTGACTGACTGATGGGCAATTACGTAACCATTTCCTGAACCATTCTACCGAAGGGATTTGATATTAAATTGAAGAAGTATGAACACTTTTAAATGTGAATTTATTGTGTCAATAGAAGTTGCATTTATTGAAGGCAACTACCAAAAACACTTAATATAAGAGAAAACATGAATTTATTTTACAATTATATTTCAGAAATAATACCGATTTCTGGATTTGAACAAAACAATCTTCATCGACTGAGATGGTTGGGCCACGTGTTGCGTATGCCTGAACACCGATTACTACGACGCGCAATGCTAACCGGTGTTCTGGATGGTTGGAAGAAAGTTAGGGGCGGCCAAACCAAAACGTGGCATCCGTGTTTGAGGACACTAACTCCTAGTCTGTGCCATGTTGGTAGATGCAGACTACTTAGTTGGGGTCCGCGTGACTATCGTAACTAGTGGTTGGAGACTCTAGGTGATATTTCTCAGAATCGATCACAATAGCGTAGGTGTATACACTCTCTATCTTCCCTTAAACTATGAGATTAAAATCGCTTCATACCTTTCTTTATATGAACTGATTCTTTCTTCCTGTGCTATGTCCTCATATGCAATCTTTCTTTTATATATTACCACCACTGAATTAACTACTTCTATGAATTCGGTGTTGATCTTGTTGTGCTAGTGAGGTATGGCAACTTGGACCGATGCACATATGTGCCTGGTCCTACGTTGTAGCTGACTGACTGATTTAATTAAATAAATGATTACTTTTAGGATTCACTGATATCTATTTTAGACATGCATAATACAATAATGTTGATACCAGGTACGAATCCACATTGGTTAAAAGTGACGCATCAACTTATGCATAAGTCGAGTATTATTTTCTTGTTTAATAATATTATTCAAAAAAACCTTCAGATTTTACTTGAGTAGTCATTCAAGTATATAGTTATATTTTGAGCAGATTATAGGAGCCTCCGTTGGCTGGTCAACAAGTTGTCTTTTGGATGTCATATGGCTATTTGGCGTTCCTTACACTACACCGAACATCTGGATGGAGAGACTTCTAAAAAATATTCAAATTACTATCATACTGAGCATCAGTCCGCTGTAGCAAATTATATCTGGTAGACTTGGTCATTAAAAGCAGATGTATTTATTATACGAATTTGGTAACAAGTTTTCAAAGTACTCGCATGGAGTGAAACCAATAAGTGACCGACACCAAGGTTAGATTCAGATAATCTAGGGAATGAAAATAAGTTGTGAATCCGCACCTACTGAAGTATCTTGGTAACGAGATAAAAGTACCAAATCACCATCTGAACTAACAATCAATACTAGTTAATACAGAATCACGCTGGAAAAGATTTTGAAGTATTCTTGTTGTTTATCTTCGAATGGTTAGATTTTTATAGTTAATAGGCACATTAGGAATATTTATTCTTGTTCCATAAGTATAATTAGGAATTAAAAGAGATTTATTTAGAGTACTAAATTTGATATTAATTTCATACACAAATAATACTGTTCCTCTAAAAAATCAATGAATAATCAACATACAAGTAGATCTGTTTCAACAGTTTCCCGTTTATCCTGTGTCCTCTGTTGAACGTCTATACGAACTAAATGTTCTGGATGATCTGAAGAAGGCATCTGAATGTTTTCAGCTTGTGTTTCATATAGTATTGTCACATTTGAAGAATTATTATTAGATCCCAAATAATTACAAAGTGATTCAATAACTAAATCATTTTCTACTATATATGCCAAGGGATTGCGTTGAAACGTTAAGTAAAGGTTTGACTTTGTTTCCCATACCTAAACGTATGTACAAAATGAATACAGTAAAATAAGTATACGCTAATCAGTCATCTAAAACGAGACAAACTTAATAATAAGAGCTGATAGATTATGTAAATTATGTGAATTTCGGTCTTTTATTATGGCAGACAATATAGCTCATGATAGAAATTGATGAAGTCACATAGATTCCGTATGTTAAGTCAAAACTGTTCAAATTAGTCTAATAATATAAAGACATGATAAGAACAGAGTCTAATCATCTTTCTAAAAAACGGGGCTGATGAAATTTGGTCGTTTAGAAGATAAGGCCCAACAGTTTGAAATATTAAGTGTTTATTTCAAGTTTGTGTTTGGTAATTGGTGGTGCAGACGCAGGATGAGCACTGCTAACAGAAGACATCATCAAATAATAAGGCCACTGAATGTCCGCCTAATCCATGTAGATGCGTAGGGTACCTAGTTAAGGTCTGTAAAATAACTCCGATAGATTGTAAGAGACTTTAGGGAGCATATCTCATATTTGGTATCACTGGAGTAGAGGGATTTCTCTTTGGATCTTCATGCAAAACTTGAATAAAGGAGTATCCTATAATTTGCATATCACTGATACTAGTAGCTCTTACAGATAGCATTCCTTATGTTTAGGTCTCTAGAGCTCTTGGAAGTCAGCCATGATTTACCTAACTTTACCGAATTATCATACTTTAATAAAACTTTTGTATATTTTTGTTAACTCATTTGCAAGATACATACTCGATTATTTAGCCTTGAGTCACACAATAATCGTTAGGACTAGTTGCCCAAACCCAAGCAGGTGGAGAGGCGTCTGAATCTACGTCTTGGTAGCTAACAGTCGAAAGCCCTAAGCACCAAGTCACACAATCACTTTTAATTGGACTGAAAGTATATGATCTCGAATCGATCAAATTTAAATTACCTAGTAGATCCAGACGAGATGAACATTTAAATAACATTCATGAGTTTTATAGACCACTCTGTGGTAGACACATCGGATGACATTTAAATAGTCATCTGTTTCTTAATATTCAAATGAATTTTACCAAGGATGTTGGAGATGCTATAGGAGAAGAAAGCAATAGACAGAGGGAATCTATATTTATTGTGAGAAGTTATAAAGAATTTAAATAATACGTATACATGACCTTCGATCATCCATTTTTATCTTTCAGTGAGTTCCGCAATTTGAACTGTTTCCTCGTCTGGTCTGCCTAAGCCGTGCTTTAGCTGTACTGAAAATCTCCCCATCTGACGACTGTTTCGACGTCAAAGCCAAGTTCCGCTACATACAACTCACAAACAATTTTATGAGTAGAATCCACTACACTGTAACTACATATACCACGTATGAAAAAGAAAATTTTGCTAATTTATTTAAAGTGATCCTCATTTAGACTTAAACACTCGAATGCTAAGTAAATCCATGAACCTACTTTTTTAAGCTCACAGTGTTGACCAGACGTTTGGCTTCAAATTCGTCTTTTTTGTGTGAAAAAACTGTGTACGTGACTGGTGTGGAAGATTCTGAATTTAGAATTTGATTCTTGTCATCACCACGAATATTTAGGAAGGTATTATTACTTAGTCACGGAGAGAATGATTTGAAGTGTATATTTTATCGCTTATAAACCTCACTTAAACTGATAAAATAAAACCGTTCAAGAGCCGAAACATATTATGGTAGAAAACTGTGATATTTCACATACTTTCATTTTATTTACAGGCTGAGAACGGAATGACTGAATAAATTCCCAAACACCAATATCTAAAAGGAGTACGATTACACGAATCCTGAAGCTTGTATAGAAAATGTACTTTTCAGCATGTTTACGGAAAGATCGTTAAGAGCAACAACACGATTTTCATATTCTTCTTTACGTTGATACTTTTTTTACCAGAACTTTCCAGCAATAAAATGCTTTTCTTACCGAGAAATTTGGAAGCCGCTATATTAAACAAATAAGATAAATAACGAAATGCCTTGATTTACCCGCAACGGCAGCCAAACCAAATCCAACCATCCCACCACCGACAATTATTATATCGTACTTCGGAAGCAGTTTCTTGACACTGTAACCACGGAAACTCGTAGTTAGGAATTTATGATAGTTGAGGAACGTCATTGGTTGAATAACTGGATAAGTAAAACATGATAAAAAATAATTAGTTATGACAAAAGTCAGTGAACTGAGATAACAGGAAAACAACAAATCAGACAAAAGTCAAAAATTCCCTCTTTCTTGAATAATTTTGGTTATTAGAAATAGAAATTGAGCAAATGGAGTGTGGTAAATTGATGGAGAAGAGTTCTGTATGAATGTATTCATTACCTTTTAAATTCCCAAACTGCTATATGAATTAATAATAAGATCAGTGGACGAAAAATATTTTGGGAAGTTTACATCTGACTGATGATTAACAAGCGATCAATGTCAGAGAAAAATCAGTTAAGGCTGATTAATAACTTTTCCCGTCATAACTTAAATACTCGGGCTCTATGGTTAAATTCCATCATACTAATACTAATAGATAATGGCAAGTCATTTATTTAGTTCACATTCAATTTTCAGAACTTTGTTAGGACCTATAAATGCCAACCAGAGAAAAGTAACGGTTATTGTACGAAATAAAAAGCCGATGAATGAAGAATGATTTTTTTAGTATTCATGACCGTAAAAAAGCAATTCAAGGATGTTCCCGTACCTAGACAAATTCGTTCTACCGTGATTTCAACAACAAAGTATAAAGTCAGTTAATAGAGCTAGTGACTGTGAGTCTGACGCGCGTAGAGGGGTATAAGGCTTTGATGTCCTGTGGGTTCATTGGAGCTGGTCGATTCGAGAGTTCCTCAAAGTATTCTACCCATCTGTTCCTTTGTTCTGGAATCTCCGTGCTTGTTTTTCCTCCTTTGTCCTTGACCGGTCTCTGGCTTACTACACTTCCCTGCCATTTTCTTCGTTGTGTCATGTACTTGCTTCATATTTTGCTTCTCTTGCAGCTTTTCCCGCTGCCATTGCACAGATTTCCGTTTGTCAACTCTAATACTATTCTTCGCTTGCTTGTTTACTTTTGTGTACTCAGCTTGTGTCTTGAATTTCTCTGCTTTTGTCTGACTGTTGTTAATCGCTGTCTCTGTTCTTCTTTTCTACAATCTTTCCCAGGATTTCGATGGTCCATTTCTAATGGTGCTGCATCGTGACCCAGAACCTCCTGACACGTTGAAGTTAGCGCTTCTCTGATCCCTTTCCATTAATTCTTAACTCTAAATCCTAATTCTTAATTTACAACCCAAACTCCTAATCTTAAACCTCTTCAATTTACTGTAAGAATACATAAAAGAAAAGTTTCGTTATTCGTCACAAAACTTATCCCTTGTAATTATATTTTTTTAAGATAGTAAATTAACTCATATCAATAAACTATTCCGATCAGCTGATGTCACTCAAGGGTATATAAAATTCCTTAGGTCATTCATATGGTTTACTTCTATCAGCTTATTCTGGCTATGGTGATTTGAAAGGTGAGATCCCAAAACTATTAAGACTAAAAGACCTACTTTGTTCATGCTTAGCTTTCATAAAACAATGAATGATCTAAATAATCTACCAGATAAGTGGGAATATAGTGAACTCAAAATTTAATCTATTTTGGGATAAGTTAGGTGAGAATACTGTGACACATAAAATGATGACACGAAGACTTTTTGTAATCAGATTTTAAGTTATGAGGCCTAAAAAACTCCATCACACAATTGTGTAAAATTACCATGACTTTTAATTTGTTTTGCTTGATTTTCAAGTATTTTGATATAAGTGAGTGTTATTTGACTAAATACACCGTACGATATACTAACCGCCAGCATTTAACAAAGACAGTGTTATAAGCGAAAAAGGCGTGGCTATCTAGGGAACATGATTACTTTACACTCGCGGTCAAATAATTTAACCAGTTTCAATCTACCGTCGAAAGTGAAGTAGTGCTTTGTTGTCAGGTGTCTGATGATAATCTTAAATAAATAAATGACACAGTCAACAATCTCGAGTAAAAAACGAGTATGTCGAACCAAATATCCAAAATATGGGGCTAGATGTTGCTTGTTTTTCTGGACCCTGCTTTGACTACTCGGAATTTTACATAACGTTCAGGGCTGTGTATGTGCTAGCAAGATAAGATAGATACACTATTCCATACTTCAAGGATTTTCGAACGGAAACAAAGCATACTTGATGGACGGACAATTTACATTAAGGTAATCACAAATAGTGCAGAAAATGTGTTTAACAAAAAACATAACGTAACAGCTTCGCGTAGTGTACTGTGATGAAATTTAAAGTATTGAACGTTTATGTTGTATGCACCATGAGTGATTAAGAATATTGAATTATTCATTAAGTTGTTGATTTGCTTATGAGGGGCGTTCGGATTAAAACTTCGTTTGTTCAAGTATAATTTCTGATCACGTGTCAGACTCATATTATGACAAACCTGCACTGTTGGTTTATCGACGTCTGGGTAAAGGGATACGTACGAGTAGAGGTTATCAAATTACTCTTGAAGTTAGAAACGCAAAACGTAAAACAAACCAACGATAAATACTGCCTATAAGAATCGAGTTTCATTAAATCAACGGGAATCATCCTTCATTATTTGTAATGAACAGTCATTCGATATTAACCCGATCTCCCGATTTTGTGATTTCCAAAAGGCCAATGACAATAAGCAGTTCCCCCATAAGTGTGGGGAAACCCACAAAATTCTGCAGAAGTGTTGGGGATTTCCCCAAAACTTTCGGGAATTTCCCAAAATAGGAAGATATTTCCCCATTGCGAAACACCTACTTATTGAGAAGTCAAGGTACTATTAAATAGGACTAAACTTTGTGGAAAAAAGTCTACATGTATGTGCAAACTTCCATGTGTTTGTGCAGAAAATTTCATACTGAAATAAACAAATATAATTGAATAAAGCCATTAATAAAGTCAAAGAGCTATAGGTTGTCAATATTTAGGGCAATAACAATGCCTAGCGAAGTATAAAAAGATTCCTATAAATTGAGTTACTTGGAAATATAATATTCTACATGTCTACAACTAGAATAATGTAGCTGAATACTGAAAATGATTTAACCTTCAAGTATCGCTGCAATCCAAGCATCCCGCCACTAAAGCTTTCGCTTGACGGGCTATCGTATCTATCAGCAGTGAGTCACACATGCCTCTATGTAGTAATCTTAGTATATTAACGATAAAAGAGGAAAAGGAAAAAACTTGGTATATCATAGTAAGATACTGTTCTTGTACTTAAGAATATGTCGAGCTTTCTCTCAAACAACTCCTTGCAAGTCAATTGAACTAGCTCAGATGGCAATGATTTACAGCATTTGACCTCTCTTAAGGAGCAGCATGTGTGACTACAGTCCATCATGCTGTGTTGAGTCTCGAGAGTCTGGGTGTTACCCCTGAGGTTTTTGATGGGACTAAGTTTAAGTAGTTAATTAATGGGATGCACAGAGTCTTAAGGATGCCACAAGTAATAGGGATGTCACCTCTAAAACTCCCGTACTTCATTGGATAAAAGTTTTTTGATTGGAGGCGCTCTTCATAAAACTTGAATTTCAGTCCCCAAACTGATTTCATGTTTCGCTGTTGGATACGTTCCAGATTGTTCATATCATTTTGAGGTGTGTGAAGAAATACGGTGTTTTCATACTCTTAATGAAGTCGAATAAGTCTGTTGAAGATTATGCGGAAAGTTATTTGGTCGGGCTGGCCGAATATGTGCTCCAACTTTAACAGCTCAATATTTTTTCCGAAGACACTTTTGTCGCAGTCAGTGTAAGGCTTCAGATCGTAGGGTACCAAATTCCCTAGATCTTTTTCAACAGGGGGTGCCTTTAGAGGGGAGCTAAGTTTTATTTGTAGCCTGTAACATGTCTCAGATGGAGTACTCTACATTTCCAAGTATTAAATTTAATGTCATTGTCATCTGCACAACTTTAAAGAAGATTTCGGATCACAAGTAGTTGTGTAAACCGTCGCATTCATGGACTACATGAATTTTTTCGACACAAAAAATACTCATACATAGGAGAGTATTATAATTCATTATTTAAGATCAAATATATACAGCCATCCCCAGAGTGTGGATTGTAACTATCATATAAAGTTATTATGCGAGATGCTGCTACATTTGGGTTCAAATCTGTTCTCTTTGTGTACTAGAATAAACTCACATCAATGCCCAAAATAGAATGACATAATTGCTTGCTCAACAAAGTTCAGTAGAACATCTTAGATTTGATAAATACATGTTGTTAAAGCGAAAGGGTTGTGTTTTATCAGACAGATTCCTCTTTCTGAAACATTTCGACTGCGAACAACCAAAAATAAAGTCATCACTCATCAGCTTACTGGATTCCAAAGCGACTTTAATAAAGATTACGTTTCAGTACACCATTTTCGCTTACGCCGTTATGAACGAACTTCAGTGATTGCGGCGCAGATCACAAGGACCATATTTCTGTAATACTGACTATTGATACTTGACTGTTGGAACGGTTCGCTCGGTGGTATTAATAACATTAGTCTGATTTGAAGAAAAAAGGAGCTCAATCTGGTATGAAGGCAATCAGTGATGTCATCTACATCACCTCCAAATATACATTTATTTAATTTTGGTTGCAGAGCATTTAGTCGAATGGTCACCTGAGGTTCTCTAGGTTTACTAACGTATAAGTGTTCTTAGCACTTTCTACAGGATTTCGATCGTCGTGTAACGCTCTCTAATCAATAATACTAACGTTGAAGTGCTTTGCTGGCCAGAGAGCATGCATCTTGAACTTCACTATGTAAATAAATTGCTTTTAGTTACTGAGAAACAAAATTTGATTATCGGGATATGGTTTTAAGAAATGCTTACAAGTTTGCCATGGAGAGAATGAAAAGTAAATGTATTGGCACAGTTCCGCACGGCCATTAATTTTTAGAGATCATAATACAATTTTTATCCATTCGATACAACTGTTGTGTGTAATCAACTGAGTTTTGTAGCTGTGGTTGATTGATTTACATCAAACTTAGTCGACCGCTATTAGTATTCAAGAGCAATTCACTTTTTTCCAGTTCATTTCTGATTTCATTGACTGACAGAAAGTTTGCTCAAGCTGCATCTTAAACCGGGCTTCAGTGAACAACAACATGGAGCAGAGCTATTCGAGTAGCCAGCGTAGCATTGTTTAAAATGTTTTATTTGATCAAGGGCTTAAAATTATGACTATATTGAAGAAATTACTCGGAAACAGATGAACACAGCCAATATGTACTTTCATTTCTTCGTACATATCCTCCATTTAAATTCACTAACAAAATGCTATGTAAATTTGTTTTCTACAGCCTCTACACTATCAAATCTAGATTCTTATTATCTGCCCAGAAAAACTCATCTCATTTTTTCTGATTATACCAGTCTCGATTCCATCCAGGAAAATATTATTTTGGTATTTAAGATCAGCAGTGTATGTCATCTGTGTCAAAGATTGCTATCTACTCGAGTTGGACTGGGATGATTCGACATCGTAGTTTAGAATGGAGTGAAATCTCGTGGTTCATGCTAAACACACACTATATAATCGTGATAACAAGACATATCTGCTGCTCAAATCACTGGTTGGAATAAATACTCTTGACAAACGTAAGCAAATAATAATATTTAAAGGTTATGGAAGTATAAGGGAAAACAACTGTCACATATGATTGATTGTTGTGTGTTGTGTGGCCTTAAACTTGTCTTAGATCGGTAGGGCTCGACTCTCGTTGACCTGTATGCTGGACAATTTGACGTGGCGGTCACTGACGTTTCACCGGCCACACAGTTTTGTTCACAAAAGAATGTTATTATGAAATGTATGTACAGACTTAAAGGCTCCAAAAATGTTACTGAAGTCGGTTTTTTCATAGTCTTGGAGATCGAAATATACGGGATGACAAGAAATATATGGGTCAATTTTGAGCTTAAAAGTGATTTAGAGAAATTATGTGAGTAATCTAGAATGTGGCAGCTGCTGATAAATACTTCCAAGTGCATCGTGATGCCTGGGTGATGCCAAGGCACAGATACATACACGGTGAGTGACGTTGCGGTATATTTTGTCCAGATACACGATGAATTTGGAGCCATGGTTAACCAAGACTTGAATGCAATGTACAATCTTTGTGATATCTCCCAAAACCTTATGACTCTTCAGACTAATATATAAAGTCTTTAGCAATGTTAATATAGGGACGTTTTGACTTTGTGTATAGCAATTTTTATCCTTAATCCGATTATTAAATACGAGAAGAAAGTTCCTGCCTAGAAATGACATTAAAAAGTTGGAAAGGGCTCAAAGATACTCAACTAATTTGACTTCTGGAATAATTAAGCTGCTGTGGACATGAAGGCTGTCTAAACTCAACATATTCCTTTTTGTCATATAGGGGGACTAGTGGTGTCGGGATATTAGTTTTAAGTTACCGACGTCTAAGGATATGAAATACACCCACCTCTCTTGTTTTTGAAACAAATATTTGCAAAGACAATCGTGAAAAATCACAAGTCTAGAGCCGATTACTTTTGAGCGGATTTATTACACTTTTATTTGGAACTTGATGCACTCTATTTGTTTGACGCGTTCGAACACTAGTTATGATATATCAGAGAATGTTCGAACGTATGGGACTTTACGGGTTAAAATATATTTCTAAACGTTTGAAACCTCACACCATCAACTTTTTGTTTTCATTATAAGATGGTATTAACATCACGCTCAAGTTATTGCTAATTATTGTCTGTTACCTTTGTTATCGATGTTAATGATTTGTGGACTTAATTGCACTTGATTGTAGAATGTCCCTAAAAAGCGGTAAAATGTTGGGGTTTGGAAGCAGAAGGTCGATGTATTTTCTCGAAATTGTTGAATAGTTTGCGCAAGTATCGGGGAAAAACGCGTAATTTCTCCACATCTGAATGTTCTCTAGCGGCTTCTTCAAGACTTCCCCAAACGGAAAACAGTTTACCTCAAAAAAGGGACATTGTGTCGCTAAGTCGCCGACTGACATCTTTTAATTCGTTTTTCTCCACCTTTTCATTCTCACACTAATACAGATCTATACTTCCTTGGTTCTCCAGAAACTATTCGGCTTGTCGTAAATGTCGAGATAAAGACGAAATTGGTTTTAAAAATCACGGATTAATAGCCTGGTTACTTTATTTTTTTATTTTCCGAGTGCAGTTAGTTGGACGTTTCGATTCACTATTTCGGCAATGTCCGTCATTTGGTTGAGTTTCATGCTATAATGATGGTTGGTAGCTATTGAATTGCCTTGAATATTATCCAGTTTTTTTTAAAGTATATCACGCCTAAAGGTTGTATTGTCTTCGAAGTAGAGCACTTGACACTATTTTGAAAGGGCTAATCGAATGTCCTTCCATTTCGTAATAATGTGGCGTGTATATTATTTTTTGGTACCATCGCACGTTTAGGCAGAGGCAGTATAAATACCGATTGATCAAAAATTTGAAACATTCAAGCATCCACCTGTTTATGTACATGTGCTTTTCTCGTTCTATAAGTCGCGTTTTGGATTAATTATACAGACATTACATTGTTTATGTATAAAACTCGTCCTTCAAAATATTGACCGACTCAAAATTTGTAAATTTTATTTGACTGTGCATTCATCAAGGATTTTAAAAGTAGGTATTTCTGCCTAGTTGTGTTTCATAAGGTGAAATATACAATTTAGTTCATTCAGTTTAACTAATTAAGTTTTCAGTCCAGTACATTTTAATTCGCTTTTTTCAGTAATGGAAGTTATGTAATTTATAGGTAAGTTACTGAGTTAATTTTCAAGACGTTATGGGTCCTAGTGATAGTTGGACAGTCCGTAGTTGACTATTGAGTTGTGTCATGTTGCTGCGTGTCTGTTTTACTGCACTAACTTTAAAGTATTGTACTGAATTCAGGTTCGCATGTCGAGGTACGTACGAAAAAACCAATCTTTTTTTTACATAAACAGAACATTCTAGTTTGGTTCCTATAGTTTTCATCGATGAGAATGTTACCACTTGTTCAAGTAGATATCTCGATTGAAAAAGTGAAATCTTATCCCTTGTTTAATTGGCGCTTCAAAGTTTTGATCATGGCTTTGAGGGATTTTTGGTCCCTGAATAAATAAAAGAATGAATTATTATTTGCGGTACTACGAGCAAGTTTATGATTGAGTCATTTTAAAATAGATGATTAGATTAGAAGATGTAACCATTTTAGTCAGTCTACTCAGCAACGAAAACGTGATACTTGCCTACTAATGATGCTGTCAAGATATGAACTGTTTGACTAAATGCTACGTATAAGACAAAATGTCGTAATTTGTGCTTTCATACTAAAAATATTAAAACATCTTTTTTATCACATGTTTTATTTAAAAATCTATTAAAACTGAGGAATTAACCCTTGTCTACAGATAACGATGACTGGCAGAATTACTAAAGATATTTTGATTCTATAATAGAGTTAACGTTCATGTGTTATTATACTCCATAATTTTGCCATGTAGGGTCATAAATTTTCTAAAACTTAATAAATTTGTCTAGGTACATTATTCGCACAAACACGATAGTTTGATCAATAACATACAAAAGACTATGAACCTTACTTCATGTCAGGTTGTATGACAATAAATATATTATGGTTTCTAATACTTGTACAGACAGATGTAAGTAGCATGTGTTAGAATTAAAAGAATTTCTACGGACAGAAGAGAAGGACACAGAGAAGAGAACGAAAAGCAAGCAAAATAACAACAGTAACAAAATTACGAAAGAGTTTGTAGCAGACGATTCTAAAAAGATAGGCAAATGGTGTATTTATTGTATTGTTCTCTATATTTTGCAGATACTGCGAATTAAATAAATTGGTTTATCATAATAAAATTTTTGTTAATTGCTACGTGATATTTATCAGACCTAATTCTGTAATTATAGGTAAAAGTGTTTGTAATTTGTTGTACGCACCTGGGGAGACGTATTGGATATTATCCAGTATTATCCAGTCACTGCTTCTCCCCCAAATTTATCCGTTCTGTACATCAATAAACAACACTGTTACAGACAATCGACCCGTTGATTTTTGACAGTAGGCAGTGCGTGTTGAGAAACCCACAACATTCAGCAAATTATGGTTGTCTCTAGGGCTCAAAGGACAACGAGAGTTAGAACTCGTGTACAAAAATGCTGGCCATCACTTTATTTAAGTACGTCTAACTAATAGCACTTAAGTTCTTACTGACTCATAACTGCTACATAAAACTAAGAAACCTTAGCTTTCCATGATATAACAAACTGATACTATAGTGAAAGTAGACTTGGTGGGGATAACCACTTTGTTTTCCTGTCAGTATAAGTAGCGTACACCACGATACCACTTACAACAAGTAACCATCGGCTTAGATTTTCATTCGTTATTCTGAGCTTTCAAACAATAGCAACATATTCTTAGATCCAAACAGGTCTATATACACTCTAAGTTTATTTGTTTTAGACTATTCAAGACTGTAGAAACGTCGTATTTTGCTTTACATAATGTTGTACCTAATAGTTTCATAATTAGTATTTACTGACTTCTGTGGACATTGTAAGGTTTACAACATAAAATATAATTTAGTTTCCCAATATATGCGAAAAGTAATAAGGTTGGATGTGTGGCCCAAAAAGCTAAATTAAAGACTTCGTCTTAATTATCTCGTATAAAATAAGCCGTATTGAATTTTCATGTGATATCACGTTTCATTTTTCCCAAAATTTGGAATTTATGCTGCAGATTAATCAAGTAAATATGTGTTTTGTTTGCGCATCAAAACGTTTCTTCTATTTTGATTGTAGGTTCTTGGAATTACTGAGTAGATATTTATCAGTTTTGTTAACACCTTGTCGACACAATTCTGTTTAGAGTGTGAACGACATTTGATCAAATGTAGATAATAGTACACAAACTATGGAGAGTTCTACTGCTTTTTCATTTTGTGTCATTCTACATGATGCAGTAAAAGAGTTCAAAATACTAGCAAATGTTGTTGACATTATGAGGAAAAAGGTCAGATAATGGATCATTTACTAAGTAATCAAATTTAAATTTAGAAACAGAGAATCAATTTAAATTATTCAGAAGCCGAAGAATTTGTTCTTAAACAAATGAATAAAATACTGGAAAAATACTCGTTTAAATACAGTACTATGAAGTTAATTATCGAAATTTAGGTGCCAGTTTTCAAGATATGCATATGAAGGTGCTCAAGGAACTACAGAAGATTTCCAAAATTACGGAGTATCCATCGACTGCGACAGTCGTTGAAGACTCGTTCTTTTCCACAAAGTACATGGAGAAATTAATGAAGGAAATGTAGGTACTCATCATTTTTCGAATGGATAGATTTTGTTTAATTGATGTTCTTGAAAAATTGGCAGAAGAAATTCAAAATACGGGGTCATGTGATTCATTACAACAATCAGTTGACAAAGAAGAATCAGAATTCAAAGAGATAGAACATATTCTGGAAAGGTAGGTCATAAGTATTTATTGACAAAGACTAAGCATGAATCAGTTTCCATAAAATTTGTAGTTTGTTTTACTTATTTAGTATTCCTTAGCTGCCATACGGAAATACGCTTTATTCGTTTAACTATATTATCACAATCTTATTCATCGGTTTACATCTTACAAGACCCACGTAGTTTTCTAGCGCAGTTTGATTCCTTATGTGAATTGTCAATTCATTTTTATAATGTAATATAAATTTTGTGTTGCCAGTACTAAAATATCATTTTGATCATACGTTAGGAGCTTAAGGTATTTCAGTGTTCCGACACAGCGAACAGATAATGGTGATCGTCTGCTGCAGCTATGCTCAGACAATCGTTTATTTTTAGCAAACACAAATTTTAAGCATAAGGAGAGACTTCGTCTAACATGGCGACCCCCTACACCAAACCAACGATGGACTCAAATAGACCATATTGCCATCAGTCATCGTTGGAGAGGGTCGGTAGAAGATTGTCGCTCATTCTGGAGTACCTGCTTGGACTCCGACCATGCCCTAATACGGGCACGCATCTGCTTGCGCCTCACTGGACGCAAAAAAGCCACATTAAAAAGACCCGTCAGAACTGAGTTGAGTAACGAGAAAATCAAAAGTAGGTTCCAGGAACAACTGAGGCCACACTTAGGTAGTTCTGAAGACGAGGCTGACCCAGATGTTGCTTGGAAGGGCATACAATCAGCTGTGGAAACAGCAGTGACATCTATTAGTGACTTAAACCACAGAGTTGCAAGGAACCAGTGGATTTCTTCAAGGTCTGTCACACTGATGGATTCTCGTAAACTCGTCCCATCAGGTTCTGAACATGATGAAGAGCGAAAACAAATCAGATCTAGGTTAAGAAAAAGTCTAAGGAACGACCGTGAGCAGTGGTGGGTAACGAAAGCAAAAGAGATGGAAAAGGCGGCGACTATAGGGAACACAAGAAAGCTTTACAGACTAATAAAAGAAACTGGAATTAATAAGTCAAGTGTAAGTGAGATTATTTCGGAAAAAGATGATACTCTCATCTGCTCCCAGTCCAGGCGTTTAGAACGATGGGCGGAACATTTTAGAGAACAGTTCAACTGGCCTTCAGCTACTGTACAACTACCCTCTATTCCCAGACAGTGTGAATGGAACATTGAAGTAGGTCCCCCAACTCTTGCTGAAGTTCAAAAGGCTATAGTTAATCTGAAACGAGGAAGGGCAGCTGGTCCAGATGGATTGGCTCCAGAGGTCTTTAAGGATGGTGGCCCAATTTTAGCGATTAGGTTGACTAATATTTTAGCTAAGATCTGGGAATTAGACTTTATCCCATCTGACTGGTCGCAATCACTTATCGTCCCAATATATAAGAAAGGGTCAAAATCATCCTGTGACAACCACAGAGGGATTAGTTTAACAAACATAGTATCTAAAATACTGGCCTCGATAATTATCAAACGCCTAACTAAGACTCGTGAACTACAAACTCGAGAGAACCAAGCTGGCTTTAGACCTGGTCGTGGCTGCATCGACCACATATTCACCATTCGTCAGGTTCTAGAACACAGGCATACCTATCGGCGTCCGACGATAGTGGTCTTTCTTGACTTGAAAGCAGTATTTGACTCTGTAGACCGAGAGATTCTGTGGTAGTGTCTCTCGTTGAAAGGTGTACCTCAGAAGTACATAAACCTTGTAAAGGCTCTTTACCCGAACACTACTAATCGAGTGAAAGCTTATAGCGAACTGTTATCTGATTTTACAACCTCAAGTGGTGTCTGTCAAGACTG